ACGGGCAGCACTTAACAATCAACTTATTCAGTAGTCTTGTGAAAAAAGTACTGAATCTATACAACGTGTCATATCTGCTGTTATCCACGCTTGGAACTAACAATTTTTTTAGATAGTTATTATATATACTATATGTACGGTACGGTTTCAATACATTCATTACATTGTACACGTTACCTTATTAATGATGAAACTCTTAGATTTGTATCAATAAATAAATTATTGTTTGCAACATATTCTGGATCTGACAATTACTTTATTCGATCGAAGGATAATTTGGCATCGGCGTTATGTAGAATTCCACCAAATTATCCAAATCGTAAAGTCTAGTTATAGATTCACCTATAAAACGTTTATTTTTATATATTTTCATTCTTCTATTCGATAATGTTTTTGGAATACGTACCGGCTAGAGTCATTTCATTATGCAAGAACCGTACTGTATGCGCGTATGGTTGTTGTATTTTTTCACGTAACTTTGGTGCTAAACGTCGAGTTGGATTCCACAATGGACTTCGAAAATTTGGGACATTCATGCAGTTTGGTTTCCAAGATTCTGGTTTTACTTCTTCCATCGGCAATATGTCCGTTATTCTGTATTGACTCGTATCGATGTTCCACGTAAATTTGCATCCCACTTCGTATTGTTTCCTTTCTTGGGAACTATATACAATTTATACTTTTAAATAAAGACTCTACGTACAACGACGATTTCTAATACGGCTTGATACTGACCACTGTGTCTGATTGTTAATTTCACTAGCTTGAATTTTCATAATTAACAAACAGATGATATCACCGCTTAACGCGCATATATCTATGATTTCAATGTCGTAATCACTACAGTGCCAATATCTCTTTTTAAACCTCGTACAAATCCAGTCAGCGATGTGATGAGAGAACGTTTCTATATCGAAACTTAACTGATTTATCGACACGCAAGGTACTATCTGAAAATAGAGTAATACCTTCGTTTAAATTTATCAGGACATTTTTCTTAAAATACATCGTTAACCAGAAGAAAAATCAACTGAAAATGTAATACCAATTTTTCAGCTTTGCTGTTGCTGATCATTTGCATTTGCACATATCCAGACCCATGGACATGCATAGGAAGCACGCATTGATAACTCACATACCCTCCCGTTTCTTCGTCTGAAATGTATGTACATTTACATATGTACTATTCACTTCTAATTAACATTACCGTACCCAGTTTCAATAAACATACCTTCAACGTCTGTAATCACTGATATCATTTCATCATCCATTTCTATGTAACTTCTTTTAAAGTGCGCAGTGCACTTTATGGTAGGATACTGTAAATTTATTTTTGGGACAAGCGGAGAAGAACACAAAGAATGTTTACCCAAACGGTCTCTGCTTATAGCTCCATTAGGCAGCTGATTTTGGTTCAGTGGACGTAAGACATTCTTCTCTGTTCAAAAGATAGGAACACCAGGTCAATTAAAAGACAAAGGTATTCTCTCAGAATGGATTGTTGATTTACCTGAATCCACAGTTACGTCATTCGACGCTCCAATATCTTGGTTAACGCTAAAATCGTCAGTTTCACTTTGATCAGAATCTACCCAGTGCTTTTTGCCATTCGGCAGTACAGGTGACATAGTCGGAGACGAAGGTATCTGATGTATCGAACAGCCACGGTGTCTGAACTGATCCCGTATGTGTTTGAAAGGAACTATATTCTCGGCGTCTTCTGTTTCATCGCAGAACTCGTATTTTTTATCGGCGAGTCTACGTTTTCTGAACGAGCTGAGCTTCTCACAAGTCTCTTGCGCTTCGTCCGTAAACTCGTAAGCTTTCTCCGCCTCGAGGATAAGTTTGTGCGTTGCCCTTGTTCTTGACTGTGACGAATTCACGATGGGCGGGGGAGAATGTAAATTAGACCGTTTACGAGGACTCGGATGGCGGAAGGACCTTGATACAGGCGGAGACATCAAACGCGAAGAACACGAAGAGGAAGGATTCACGGAGACTGAGTGAAGCGGAGAATTAACGGAAGTCACGTTGCTCTCCTCTGAAGCACCTGGCTGCGGGGAATTTGAGCGTTGACCGCGACTGCTTTTATGACTAGATTCCGAATTGCGGGTCTTTAGAATATCTGATGGCGGTGTGAGAATAGGCGACGACCAACTGCTAGCCGTCTTGAGATCAGAGGGAAGCCTTTGTGGAGTTGATCGAGGGGAACACGAGGGATGCTTCACTAGAGTAATCAAATCACTACCAATATTAAGTTCCTGAGACATGTCTTCGCAGAAGTCCTGCAAGATCTTATCCCTAACCGATATCGCTTGTTGCTCGATCCGAGAGACTTGCGGTCTTATATTTAGGCATTTACATTCGGTGGGATCCGCACACTCGCACGACTTAACACTTACGGTATCGATAGACTTACTTATATCACAGACACAGTCGCTTTGATTACTGTTCGAGGTATTCGATGGATCGTGAGCTAACTTATCATTTACTTTAATTGGTTCTTCTAGAAAGTCATGTTCTATACTTGACTCGCATCTTGGAGATCGGTCAATCACTCGCTCAGGTGTACCTATTTTTTCGTCTAAACTTTCATAACGTTCCACCTTTGTATAATCCAATTCTTCCACGTCACTCATGTCTAATGGCACCGTGTCAGGAATCACAGTGTCCTGTTTATCACAAGTCTTCTGATTTTTTGATTTCGGAATGTCCAAATCCACCCTGAGTACATGCAAAAAGTTTCCTGTGTTAACTACTACGTGATTCCAATAATTCAAACAGACAGTAGCTCGGAACCTGGGATAGGGGGAAATTACTTCATAAGTAGTATGGACAGTAAGTCCGTGTTGCAAACAGTTACATCGGACACAACCATCCCAGTTTGCAGCCAATTCTATAAAAATGTATATTATATGCTTTTGACTATCGTGGAGGCACGCTTTACGATCAGTATACTATTACCTTCGCCCTCCTCTTCATAGGATGCAGCAACTTTTAAACAATCCTTACAATTCTCGAGAGATGGAACTGTAGTTATCGTTAAGTATGCTCTATCCGTTGGCTGTAAGTGCAGCCAATTTGTACTAGAAATCGATCGTTTAATTAATTGATAAATAATGTTTGAAATGAAATTTAATAATTAAAGTATTGGGTAAATGTACAAATTTTGACATTTTTTATATGCGGCTAACAAAACCATTTTTGTTTTCAAGACAAATAACATCTGTTTTCAAATTATTATGTGTATAAAGGACAATTCTTTCTTCGCTTTTACTTGATTTCAGTTTAGTCAGCGAACAGTTAAGCTACTAAACTAAATCTAAAAGCTAAAAACGTCAAAACTTTTGTATCTACCCAATAATTACAGCGATGCTTACCAAAGGCCATGTATTACTAACTTATTCCGTTCCATTGGCCATTGAGATATGACAATGCTAAGCTCTCTATATATAGTGTAATTACCAAAAAGTGTAACCTCTGCAACTTTACGAGCAACATGGTTCGGTGTAAAAGCCCACCAATGTAACAAGTATTTGTACAAAGAGGTATTCCCACTCACATCCATTGTGTACGTATATGTAAGTAAAAACTGACCACATTGCGTCAATCCCATTACAATGTGCCTTAAAAAATAAGATCAATGAAAAAAATATTTGACAAATTCTCTCATAAACTTCTCAGTAATTTTTCATAATAAAAATACATAAACATTATACACGTACCCTGCTTCTAACGCAGATTTTGGGATTACGTGTAAAAGTGGCAAGTGTCTCCATGAAGGTACAGTAGCAAAAAGTCTTTCCTCTGATGCATAATTGTGCGCCGCTAGACAACCTCTGATCTACAATATTATTTTTTCATAACGTCACAACAACATTCTACTAAGTTACATTATAAATAATGGGACTATTCGAAATCATGCAATATTATTTCAACTGGCTGCAGTGTATAAAAACTAAGAATATAATAATATTAATGGAATTATTTAAAATTTGTCCAAGCTAACAGTAATTTTTTTTATTCGTCTGTTTCTCCTAGATATCATGCAATTACCGTTTCATTCAAATCATAACATAAATTGGAAGGGATAAATAATTAAATGGCCAAGAACAAAAGCATATTTTTTCTTGCAACCATTGGTACTTTAGCATTGTAAATGAACCAGTAACGGATACGCGAGCTAATCGAGAAACAATGAAACAGTTTTTTCTCGACGATATTACGACAGTACATTTGTTTTTTTCTTTGTTCAAATCGAAGACGCGTTTTGACAGATATATGTCTTGTATATGTCTGTCAGTTTCATTAACACTTCCGCACATTGAAGGTTAAGCAACCCTACCTCTCTTAAAAATAGCTTCTGTAAGAAATGTCTTTTACTGCGACGATGTGAAAGACCCGGTTTCTGACCCACTATAACGTATTCCGATCTTTCGGAGGTAATATCAGAGAACCATTCATTGCAACAGTCTGAGGTAGTGTCGGAAGACGATGCGTCCGCCATTTTTAAATAACCCTACTGAAAGATACGCGTGAGGAGCGTCCAGAAGATCGGAGAATACAATTCACCACGATTCACTAAGGTTTGCCACATGGGCGCACCAGTCGAATTGTTTTCACGCCTCCCTTGCGAAGTACGAAAATACTATCTTAATCCTACGATTTTCCAATCCGTTGGAAGAATTATCAAAGAATATCCACTGTTTAGATGAACGAACCGATAGACTTAACGAGACATAAGAATTGCACGCACGGTATTTAGCTTTGTGTCGAATTCATGTTGGTCAATAAAAAATACAAGATTCTTATAACCCTGAGGGGTTAAAGAACTTCGATATCATTCGTTTATAATAACCGGTGCCGAACAATTGTGTTTAAAGTTGAAATAAAACATAATAATTCGAAATGACGTTTCAGCCTATTTCGCAGTAATATTTGCTTCGAATTAAATGAATTTGTAAGAGTAAAAGCATGGATATCACGATCGACGATAGATTAAATGTATTACAACAAATAAGCCAGCAAAAGCTCATTGGAATATTGGATGCGATTCCTGGGGTTAAAGACCTGGTGATAGAACAGAAACTTATGAAAACATTAGACAGTTTCATTGGAGTTTCCGTACTCAAGTAATTGTTTCTTGACAATAGTTAAAGTATGTTATTTTGAAATGAACATTGCATAATTTGTCTCTTATTCAGGCACTATGGAGTCGATAAAATATATGAAATGGAGCAAGGTTTAAAGCTCTCAAATTCTCAACGTATCTTCTTAGTTTCGAGTGACTTGATATCTTGTAAAAGGGTATTAGATCATGTACAATCAGAAATTTCACCAAATATCAAACCACACATACAACCATACCATCATATTCTAGTTGCTCCATTTGTTCCAATGGTTCTAAATTCAATTATCGAAGAAGAGGGTAATTGTTTATATACTATCGTTGAATACACGAAGAATGATTTTATAATAATGAGAATATCGTTTATTTAGGCTTATCTGGATTAGTGACAGTACAAGCGTTATCTTGGGAATTCATAAGATTAGATGGCAAGGTCTTATCTTTAGAAAGTTCTATGTTTACTGATCTTTATTATCATAAAGATACTGCTTTACTACCAACACTAGCACGGAGCTTATGGTCACTGCAACTTATACTTGGCTCGCCCCTGCTTACACTTTCACTTGGCAAACACAGCCAGCAGATGCTTAAAATTATAAACACCATGACAACGATGTTTGATTCATCGATTATAGAGAATAACATTGGAGCATTAATTTTGATGGATAGAAACTATGATCTAGCTACGCCACTCTTGACACCAGTAACGTATGCTGGTTTATTACATGAAGTTGTGGAAATAAATGTTGGTATAGGTACCTTAGACAAATCTCAAACCAAATTGGATCCAGATAAAGATCAGATTTATGGAGAAGTAAGAGATACACCATGTAGTGATGTATTCCCTATTTTACATGGAAAAGCTAAATCCCTAAAATGTACACATATCTTTTTTATATATCTATATATATCTTGCACTAATTACATTTTAACAGAAGTTAATAATATCTTTGATATTATATGTTAGCTGAACAAGATGCCATACAAACAATGAAGTTGTCTGAAATGGAGCAATATGTAGCGACAAGATTACAGAAAACCAGGGACATGAAACGTCAATTAGCTTTCCATATTTCTGCCTGCCAACTTATTGCAGATACATTGGGGTCCGACTTTCAGACTTTGCAAAGGATAGAGAAATCTATAATTGAATGCAAAGATAGGAAAGAATGTTTAAATTACATCGAAAGACATATTGGTATACATTTTCTCATTATTTTAAAATTATAATATTACAAGTTAAGAAAACAATTAACTTTTCAGATGATCATCCACTGAGAACTTTACGTTTACTATGTTTACTATCCATCGCAAGTGATGGTATCACTCAAAATGAGCTACACTCCATTCAGAAACTTCACCTTCATGCACATGGTTATAAACATATACCATTATTTTATAAATTGCAAACCATTGGTTTACTAAAATGTAGAGAAGAAAATATTTTGCATAAATTACCGAATTGGACCAGTGAATGGAACAACAATGCTCAGAGGCTGAAACTTTTGCCAAGCTACTCGAAACAAACAGAACAAAAAGGCCGTACATGTTCTAGCTACGTGTTCAATAATGCGTATATTCCCATAATCGTTAGTATCATGATTATTATTATGTAATTAATATTTTGTTAAAACTAACAAGTTCAACCTCTTCATAGGCTCAAGTATTGAATGCTGTTGTAAATCAAGAAAAAGATCTTAAGAATTTCACTGAATTAGCAAATTTGCCGAATTGTCTTATAAATGGGAAACACGGTGCATTGCAGTCAAAAACGGTGGTAATATGTGTTATAGGTGGTATCACTTACGCTGAAATAGCTGCTTGCAGACTTATAGAAAAGTTGACTAAAATCCAACTTGTTCTTACATCCGACAGTATTACGACAGGTAATAAAATACTTGAAAAAACGCAAGAAATATAAGAACCTTAGAATTATATAAGTTAGAAAGATGTAATTGATATTTTTTATTGTTTTACTGTAAATTGATTGTTTTATATTTAGAAAATAAAAATTGTAAATATAGAAACACGGATATTTCAGTGGTATACTAAAACAATATACTGTTACTTTATATACTGTTATTTTCAACATTATTTACATGAGTGCATACACGGTATAATTATATTCCATTGTCAAACACCCAAGTAAATAACATTCGATATTTTCTGATTTAATAATTTCGATTCTCTTCTCGAGCACGATCTCTATCACGGTCACGTCTTTGCCGACCCCAATCTTGTCCCTGCCTGTTATAATTTTGTCTGTCACGGAAGTTTCCTTGATTTCCTCTCGAGAAGAAGTTTCCTGTAACATAAAATAAACTATTTCTAGATATCGGTAAACAATTTATGGGTGGACACCACCTAGAGATGTCATAAATATAGATAAACTTTAGGAATTTTTTTGTTTATAATCATTAAATGAGAACTTTTGATTCTTCTGAGTGTATCACTGTAACCTTCTGCTTTATATTTATATTTTTTCTAAGCCAAAATGTTATAAAATTTTCGTAGAACATCCATTGTCAATTGACTCGATTGCAAACAACTGAAATATTCGAAGTCAAAAATTTTTGCGGGTTTGTAAACAGAAATATGTTATCTAAAATGTAGCTTACAGATTTTTCACTATCTCAATTATTTAATGTTTTGTAAACATTTAAAGCTAATTTCTGGGGTAAAAACAGATTTTACACTTCAAATGTTTACCATTTCCATAATAATTAAAATTCTGGAAAATCCGTATGCTACATTTTAAATAACATATTTCTGTTTACAAATTCACCAAAATTTTTGTCTTCAGATGATTCAGTTGTATGCAATCGAGTCCACTAACAGTGGATGTTTTACGAAAAGGAATTTCGAAGCTAGCGGATAATTTCGCCATTTTGTAACATTTCGGGTTAGAAAAAATGTAAATATAAAGCAGAAGGTCACAGTTATACATCCACAAGAGATCAAAAGTTTTCACTTAATAGTTATTAACAAAAAAATTCCTAAAGTTTACCTATGTTAACGTCTATAGGTGGTGTCATCCATTAGATACGATATAACGTATTCCTTATAATTACCTTGTTTCATTTCGAAGATACGCTCGTTAGAGTCGACGAAATTGTTTACTTTGTCGGTGAGTTGTAACGCCAACGACTGAAGGCGACTTGGTTCACTACGATGCATAACGACAGTCTCCGTAGGGTCATCCAGTGACGCCATGAGCTCTTCGTTAATAATCATTTTACTTATAATGGAATGAACAACAGGTCGCTTCAGTTGGAACATCTCTGCTAATTTGGGCATAGAGATAGAATCGTAGACGTGCGAGTAAGTGAACAAATACGTTCTCAAAGCTTCTTCTTTGATTAATCTCGTGAGCATGTCTCGGACTTTGTCCGCTTGGTAAAAAAGATCCCAAACTTTAGCGTTCATCTTCTCGTTGATTATAAAATTATTACACGCTAGCCAATTTCCGTTACGCATTGCCTTTGCTGCAGCCACGACGTGTTCTCTCATCGATTCTGGAGGACCAACTAACGACTGGCGTTCACTTGATCTTAATTGCTGATAAAAAGTTTTGGAGATCATTCTTCTTCTCGCATCAAATTCGTGAGCAGCCATGTACGGGATCTCAATGAGCATCGCGGAAACCAAATAAACGCATTCCAGAAGTTCCAAGTTGATGTGCATGTGGAAAGGCATTTGCCTTTGTTTCTCAATTTTCTCTTGCTCTTTACTACGCTCGTGTTGTCTCTGAGGAAGAAGACCTTGAGCCAAAAGTTCCTTTACCTTTCCTGTTACCATTAAATCTACCAAACAATTGTGCGCGTCCTTGATATTTGCATGACGGAACGCACACAATCCTAAATGAGCTATGGTTCTATTGTACAAAATCTGCAAACGAGCAAAAATTTAGTAATGTTTAAAAAATACCTATCCCCTGATTTACACGGAAGATCGGTTCCTCAGAATACCGTATAAATAAAAAAACAAACCAAAATGCGCACAATTTAGTCGGTTACGTATTCAATTAAACTCATTTATTTTAACGTAAGGTAATAAAGGTAATAAAGGTAAAATACCATGAAAAATATATCAGCTTATTCATGAAATGACAAATATATAAAGCTATAAGTGCATAATTCATTATATAGAAGCGAGAAATATAAAATCCATGCAAATGAAACGAAAATTTGAATCAAGAAGCCAAGCCTATACAATTTTAAGTAAATTATAAAAATGTTACGAAAACTGTAATTGTTTATCGCTAACTAATGAATACGACGTTTCAGAAAATTCCGATTAGAATAAGCACAACACATCTTACTGCTGCTAAAGATTTACTAAGCTTTACTGCGCTAATTCACATGAATGGGTTTCGTGCGTACACAAAAAGGTGTTGGAATTCCCTTTTTTAAATTTAACGCCAGTATGACCAATCGAATGGAATAAAAAATTTACTATAGAAATATAAGTGCAGAAAAACTGTTTGTTTTTAACATTTTTCTTTAAATCTGTTCTTTTGAAAATCGTGCAAAAGTGAAATCGTGTAAATCAGGAGATAGTATAAAAAGAATATGTTATATTGTAAACAACACATACTTGCGTAGCTGGATCAGAATGTTGAATGGTTTCCTGTAAATGGGACATTAAAACTAGATCGCGCGCTTGGAACCAATTATCATGAAGCGCATGGTGATAAATATGAGAAAGGATTGCTCGAGTTCTTAACCTGTCTGTTCCATCGTGGGCGTAAACATATTTACAAAGTTTTTCCATTACTTGGACAGACGTAATGACATCTGGACCCAGCTCACCCTAAAATGATACGTTAGCAGTAGCACATGGCTTGTAGGTATTTCTACATACGTATCTTTAGTAATAGCAAACATACCTCTTTCTGTTTAAGAACATTGGGATCGAATTTGTAATACAAATGCTCAATTTTCCGTAGATAAACACGACAAAGCTCAGACACGGTTCTTTGCCTTTCCAAGTACTCTTGAACCTTGTCGATTATCATAGACACTTGTTTTTCATCTTTTAATCGTTCCACGTATTCATTACTATGCGGATCGCATTCTTTCAAAAGTTTCGTAAATTCTTCGTCTAAACGTTCCACTAACGTTAACACGCATCCGTGAATTTTATACGGAGCGGTTTCGAATTCCTCCGCATCTTCCGACACGCTTTCAGCGATTACCATTTCTTTAGTGTTTAATAGCATGTCAAGCATCTCTGTTATGCGTTCTAAGATCTTGGACCAATACTCGGGCTTCATCGCATCCGACACTTTAGGGTTGTAATCAAAAATAGACGACACAATGGAAAATTTAATCTTTACTGCCACTGCTGGTCCAAGATTATGAGCGTCAGCTATCGATTGCAATTCGTGTAGCAATTCTATCTGTTCTCGTCTGTCTGTGCGCTTTTTGCCACGAGCTGCTATAATTTCGGATAACTTCTTCAAAACAGCAGCTACGTTGATTTCGGCGTCCTTAGCAAACATTTTTGGTTTTTCGGATGGAATAGCGACACCGCCTTTCACAGTTTCCCATTCGCCTTCTCCATCATCTTCATCCTTCCTCTTTTTCCTTTCTTTATCTTTACGTTCCTTGCGCTGTTCTTTCCGCTTTGCTTTATCTTCTTCTTCTTCTTTATCTGCTGCCCTGTTAAAATAGGAGTTTGTATCGATAAAATTGTGTGTATCACCTACCTACTATTAATTATGCATAATTCTATTTGAAAATACTTTTTAATAAAACGGTCACGAATGTTTTGATATTGGCCCTCATCTTCGCTACTTGTACTTTCACTATCCGAGGAACTGCCCCAGTCAGAGTCGCTTTCGCTACCTTCTTCGCCATCAGCTACACTTTTCTGAGAAATTATACATATTTTATTATATAAACTTGTTGAATTAAGGTTCCTTATGTTATTCCTTTACACTTCAAACAATTTCAATATCTAAATAGTTCGTTTCTATAGAGAAACTCTCAAGAACTTAAACTTTCATTTTGAGAAAAAGAATTACGAATATTCGTGTCTTTTAATCTCTTTTATCAATTTGCTTTATTTAAGTAAAAAAAGAAAGAAGAATTTTACAATTTGAAATTAATCGTATGGTATCTGTAATGCAAATTATGTCTCTATAACAGGGCCAACAGAGTGCAAAGGGTTATATATATATATATATATATATATATATATATATAAAGTATAAGTATACTTGTGAACATATAAGTATCATTACCTTGAATTTAGATATGTCTGGTTCACTTGCTTCAGAACCAGCTTTTTTGAAAGCAACTGTATTGTCTTCTTCTTCTTCAGATTCTACAACTTCTTCAGCTAAAATGAAACATATAAATTAATTTTTATTACTATTAATTGAATTAATTTTTTGTTGGTATATATTGTATACTAATGAGCGTTGGGAGTGGAAGAGTACCCTTGTCCCTTTTCGCTTCTGAACCGAAGGTCGGTATGGCTAACGTGGGATTTTCACGGTATATATATACACAAAGTGACATTTTTCTTTTAAGATTGCCCTCAAAAATACATGTTTTTTTTAAACTGTTCTTTTAATGTTACAAAAAATTAGATGAAAATGCACCACTTCTAAGAAGTATTTTGGTCAGCTTTTTGAAAAAAAATAAAGTATGATTGCCACAGCCATTAATTGCAACAATAAGATATATGTATATATGGGGACTCATTTAAATCAATGAAAAACAGAAAATACATTAGACAAGAGCTAAATAGTTCCAAGAAGCAACTTTTTATTTGAAATGGAATCATATATTTTTTAATTCATTAATTTATGCAATGCATCAGTCTATTATTTCGTCATTCCTTATCCCTTAAAATCATTTAACTTTTGCTTGATATATCTGGGACATGTATATATGTAATTTATAAATTCTATATACTTACGTTTTTCTTCTTCTTCATCGTCATCTTGATCTGGATTCTCTCTAAACTTAGATATGTCATCTTCAAAGTCTTTATTGTATTTGCGAAGCTTTTGACGCAATGAAGTTAAAGACTTTGAATTATTTTTTGACATATTTTTACGACCTTCACGATCTTCCCATACTTCGTTAATAAAATCTTCCATTTCTACCAAACACCTGACATAAAAGCGTGGTGTTTGACCAGCTTCCTCTTTAGCAATTACAGGTAATGCCTTCTGATAGGCACGCATCAAATCCTCGAAACCTATAATTATATGCCACATAATTTTTAATAATCAAAAAATATTTATATTTATTGAAATTAAATAACACTAATTACTGTAACCACTTACTGGAAAGCATACTGCTCATATCTTTGATCTTCTTATAGTTTCTTATAAGCTTAATCAAATTAGCAATTTCTTCATATCGCTTTTCCTTTGTTGAGCGAACAACTCTTTTTGTTTCTTCCTCTTCATCACTGAACTGTATAAAAAAAGAATTGAAGAAATAAATAATTCAAACATCAATTAAACCCATTATAAAAATAACTCGTACGTACCGTAAAAGCTGCAGTTGGTCCCCTTGGTACCTGTTCCTCTTCGGATGCACTCTCAGACTCAGAGTCTGAGCCAGTTGCAAAGAAACGACTCATATTGTAAAAATATACTGCAACAAAAAATGAAATAATTTAAAAAATATTCATTCCTTAGAGTGGTAAAGAAAGTCCTTTTAATATCATTTATTTTTAATATAACGTATGAATGCATACTTAAGTAATATTTGTTTGATAGTGGTAACAATTTACAACAATATAACAATATTGAGAAGCTTTCATATGTGAAAGCATGAAAACGATATATATGCGGCAATTCGCGATGCCCTTAAACACATGGCATGGAACTTTTATCAATAACGACTAAAACTTCATGTGATTGAATAATAAACAAAAGTTATCTTAAAAATATGAGTGCTGCTTATTTTAAAAAACTTACAGAATACAAAATTATTGTTTCGTTTCCCCTTCAAAGGGCAGAACTACCGCAGGTTAGAATGACAACGACATTAAAGGCGAATACGCCATTGAATTTAGCGCATGACATAAAATGCGTTCCAAAAATGAAAAGTATAGTACATATTTAAAACTTACCTTGTTGATACTTCTGTCCGATTAACTAATTATTACACTTTAATTTTGTTAATATTAAAATTTCTTGCTTTTCAAGTAGAATATATTTAACTTCCTTTTTTCTTTCGTATAGAATAATAATAACAACAACTTATTGAAAACGCAACAGATCCTGTATAATAGTATTCATCAGTGTTTTTGTATTTTTATATTCGTAATTATAAGAAATAATTATTATAATGAATGAAATATTTTTATTCAATTTCGTTAATATAAATATAATGAATTGTAATTTTCAATAAATTGTATAAAATGAGTTTTGGAACGCTGAGACATAGAATTCCCAGGATCATTACTACAAACGAGGCCCTTTGGTTGGCACTGTTAAAGGGGTCGGAGGGACTCTCGTAGAAAAGGTATCAGCACGCTTTAAGTTACGTACGTCCCGTTTCAACGAGATTGTAATTTCGTAACAAAACAAAAAAACGCTTTAGTCGTATTAAGTAATTCAATAAACAAAAATTTTAAATCAATGGTTAGTGACATGGATACTGAAAAATCTGTTAAGGAGTAAGTATACAATTTATACTAGTATACAACATTGTATTTCATTCGACTCTTTAATATATATGAATAATATTTCAATTCTCGTATAATCGAAATCTCATTGCAACATGACACGGATTATTCTACGAATTGTAATTATAAAGTACTTTAGTA